TTTTTTAACTCGCGATATTTTCTTTTTGAGGTAATTAAACTACGGAGAGTTTTAATATTGAGCAAGCTGAGCAGTTATGCATGCCATACGTATGCGCAATGTTACGCAAAGCCTTCTTGGTATATAGATATGGCGAGTTTTATTTTGGGGTTCGACATCAGATGCACGGGAAGTGACACCTCTGTCGAATGGGTTCTACGTTAGGTGCAGAGCTTTAACTTCATGATCGATAACCTTTTTCTAAAATTCCATTAAAAACGACTCCACAGCTAAACTTGTTGATAACCTCTAACTTCATCAAGTCAATAATTCAAGATAAAAAAAACAAACATAACCTGTACAAAATCAAATTAAAAATTGGTCTTCTAAATGGGGATTTACAATTAAGTTAAAAATAAAACCCATTAAGTTCTTATTTAAAAACAAATATATGCCAAATTTTACACTCAACAGAACACCTACATAACGAAGACATTACTATCCATAAAGGAACAAAATTCCTTGGAGCTACATTTGTCCAATAGCTAACACGGACATCCCATATGCTTAATTTTGTCAATTCATCCTAAAAAATCTAAACCTCATGAGGGCCATACAGACATGGATGTAGACAGACAAACCCTTTTGAACATATATCAAACACTCATACAATCAAATTAGGTCTGTGCCGCGCGCCGGTATTAAACTCCATATCAATTATAAATAATAATAAACCAAGCTCCATACAATATGAAACAGTTAACTAGCCATGGAGACCTGGTCCTACCAACACACACTGCTACTATAAGGCTCCACCTTAAACCTACATAGAAGGCAACAAATGAGCCTCAACTACGGGGCTAGGACCTTACATAATTGATTTTGTGGTCAGGATTTCATCAAGGTCATGATTCATGTCAACCAATAATCTGACATATAGGCAGGTGGTCGTCGGCGCCTGGACAAAAACAGGACGGGGCACCCGTCTTGCGAGCGCGACCGTGTTTCTCCGGGTATATTATTGTCATAAAATTCCAAGTTCATAAATAGGCAAATTACTTACAAATCCGGCTTGCCAGACCATAAAAAGAAGGCGAAGACGGCTCCGGTAGTCATTCGAGACCATTTAATGGCAGTCTATTATTTCATCATCATCCAGGCAAGGGATGGCACTTTGGCAACACACGGATTGCACGTGGCTACATAAAGAGTATGTATCGGGTGCATGTAATTGTTGATCCGGCAACGGAATGACAGACAAATGAAATTACACCCCACGACATGTACACAACATCCGCAATAGGCAAAAAGCCTTACTATTCCTATGATAACTGAAAAACATTCTTTCAATTACCAAATACCAACCATATCTACAAAACCATAACAATAAAATATCATAACACAAGCACAACCACCCTTATAAAGTTCAAAACATCCCCAAAACCATCTACCTAACACACCTCTTTAAACTACTCCATGCCCACAACCTAAACAATGTTCCACCTGCTGCACTACCAAACACATAAATACAGATACCACATGGTCTCTGATACATACAAATACCCACCGGGATAGAAATGTCACTACACACTACAATCGCAATCCAAATTAACAAAAACAGCAAAAACGCAACAAGAGTACTCATCACATAAATCGAAACTCGCCTTGAAAGTAAATCAACCTATTTTAATAACTTCTAATTGCCATTTTTAAAAAATACACTCATTCTAATTTCGTTGATATATTGGCTATATCAGTAATATTAATTAAATCAGGTAACAAATATAAACAAACAAACTTTCACATTATTTCCGACTCATTGAGCTCTGTTAAAGCAAACTCTCTAAAACCCTGACTTAATCAATAATATTATACATCACCATTATAACATCAGATCTAAAACCAATAGGTAACACAATAACCTTACAATAGATTCCTTGCAATACAAACATTGGAATGGAAATGGAATTCCGCGGGCCTGGCAGTAGTTCTACAAACCTATCCCCAGGAATAATCTTCACTACTGGAAAACCTAAAAGCACTTATGAAAAATAGTATCAAAATTCAAATTTTCAAATTATTCTTCAAAACACTAGATCCACCTGAATTTAATCCCTCTTAACAAATTCCAAGATTAAATGCACAAATGTTCAAATATCACACTTTTAGATACAATAATTTTCAGAATTCTCCGTGGCACATCAAATTTAAGCTATACATTATACAAACGAAACAGACACACTGATGGCAACTGCCCACTTTGCAATTCACCCAAGGATACTGCATACTGGTGTCCCCTATAACATGCTCACCATCCCGATTTTACCATTCTCTTCCTTTTCTCTTTAAAATGTTCTGCCTTTACTCTTAAGTCCAATATTCTTCCGTCAGTCTTCACATCAATAACAATTTTTTACAAGAAATGTCAGTCTACAAAATACACCCGGATCGGATCCATCTATCTATCTATTTATCTATCATTTCATTATTTATTTACCTATACCATTTCCCTAAGTGAATATTTACCATATTACTACTATTTTCTATCTATCTATCTATATATCTATCTATCTATATATCTATCTATCTATCGTTTCATTATTATTAACCTATATATCATTACTCTGAATATTTACCTTAATACTACTATTTTCCATACATACTAAATAGAATACAACTCCACGCGAAGTACTTATTTAATATATTGTATGTAATTAACAACTTCTCTGTAACTTAACATATGACTAAAATGGGCACTACCTCAGGTTATAGTTTTTTGGACCAGGTGTGTTATATCTTTATTCACTATGATTATATATTATTCCTTGAAGCCACCCGTCCCCATGTACGAAATTGAAACTTTCGGAAGTGGACGTAAAATACCTAAATGATGACGATTATACAGTTTTGCTTGACAACGATATGAGGACCTATACCAACACGTTTCTATTATAGTGAAATAAAGAATGGATGTTGTTATACATAAATTGTGTCCATTTTGGTCATCCATCAACTTCTAAGAAACCAAACATGACAGTCGTAATTCTGTAGGCAGCTGTGGATACCCCTGTTTATTCAAATGTGTCAGTTTCGTCTATGGTCAATAATGCTGGCGGCCTAGATAATATTGGGCGTTCTGGAATTACACAAAGTGTAGGAAATAGTGAGTGAGTTACGTTTAACGCCGCTTTGAACAATGTTCCAGTTATGTCGCGGTGCCTGAGCTTGACTGAGAGAGAACTCCGAAGTGATGCAGATCTCAGACGTTTACCACACGGGACGAGTACATGTATGGTGTTCTTCGAACCCAGAATCATAGGAACAACAGTTAACATTATTAACAATTCTACGAATACTACCTCTTTTACATCATTGCCAAATTAGTTTCTCAACTGGTTGTGGATTGTTTACAGTGGAGATGACTTCTGTTGAAGGTAAAAAGAGTTACAGTGTGATGACAGCCGATACACAGGACTACTATCAATTGTGTACTTGAGGTAGGAATTTAATTTTTTTAACAATGATAAATGTTGTTTAAAAAACGCCGCGATTCGCTGTGCTGACTTGTGTCCCTTGGGCACGCCAGAAATCTATGATTGTGGGTTCGAATCCTGGTTCGCTCCGATTATGTTTCTAGGTTTGTCAGCACCATACCCATGCTCGTTGGTTTCACCGAAGGTGTAAACGTCTGAGACCTGCATCACTTCGGGTTATCTTCTCACATTAAGCTGACCCGCCGCGATGTAACTGGAATACCGGTGCTGTAAAAAGCGGCGTTAAACCCAACTCAACTCACCAACTCCTTAACAACCGTTATGTGTTCAGTTAGTGCATATTGATGATGTTGACGGTGCCTGTCCAAACATTGATAACATCTCCTCGATACATATTTCCTTTGTGCCCAGTGATCTGCGTTAACGGAAAAACTTTGGACACAGAGCGGCAGCAGCATACAGTACTTTCATGAATGATTTAAGTTTGTTTTACCAATTGGCTGACGACGGAATCATGTCACTTTGTTCCACGCCGTCTCTTTATAATATTTTGTAAAAATGATGTATGGACATGGGGGTTTATTGGTAATAGTATAGGAAATTTAGGCATTTCTAACTTAGGCATTTCACGTATGGAATATGTGTTTTACATCATCCCGTTAGGCCACGAAGATCCGGGTAGAGAATAGATCTTCAGAAACCCATGCGTGCCGTAAGATGCGACTATGCTGGTCGTAAGAGGCGACTAACAGGGTCAGGTGATCAGGCTCGCTAACTTGGTTGATGCATGTCATCGTATCACAATTGCGTTGAACGTTGCTGATGATGTCAATCACTGGATTGTTTGGTCCAGACTATTATTTACAGACCGCCGTCATATAGCTGGAATATTGCTGATTACCGTGTTAAACAACAAACAAACATATACATTTCCGTTATATTGTTAGTTGTTTAGTTTTCTTTGTAACAAATGCCCTAAATTCATAAAATGTGTTAGAAAATGTATCTCAATAATGAAAGTGAGTCGCGTGACCTGAATAGTCTACTGCGCGTTTCGATAATATGAATTCGGTAAGTACGATGGTAACCACATATGAGGCAAAACAATTTCATTTTTACTCATATTCCTCTTGTTTTGATTCTAAACGTTTTAACATGTATCAGAATTAGTTAGTCATCATTTTATGAATTTTTAAAGTTATAATCCGTAACTCTTAATATTACATTTGTGTTTCCCACAATGACCAAGAGCACCCTGTGAGGGCCGATCATTAGCATTTTGTGTCTGCCGAAATCTGTTCAAAAGTCTGCAAATCGCAGACTGAGACACAAAATATTGGCCACCTCTGGTTGAGTCCTACTAGTTTGAAGCATGCCAATAGCCATGTGGCATTAGGCGTTCATCATTCTTAATCTTATCAAATATACTGCATAAAAGAAAGGATGAAGGGCTTATGTGTTATAAAGACTACATCTTGTACGAGCTTGTAACAGTATATCATCAGTAAAATGTTCAGCGATACTTACCAGCTGTGACCAAGCACTGCCTGAGTCCAGTACTAGCTCTAAATGCAGCACCGCATTACGCCAGTCCCTGACTTTATAGTGTTACCTTTAGTTACAATAAGTCACATGACCGACCGGGTTTGGCCACATGCGCTGTATACAAATGCACAACGTCTGTGCAATCCAACACAAAAGGAGAAACATATGACGTCATACTGGTGACAGGTAGAGATATAAATATATGTTCTGTGACAACAGCACTTGGCCTTACTCCCATGAACGGCTCTGTACAGTTTTTTACTATATTTTAATAAATTTGTAAATGCATCGTACCAAATGTATATGACTATGCCTGTTAAATGATCAGATTATATATGGCTGCCCTCCTGCGGTTTTAGTTAATCTTTTAGCAGTTGTTACTGACTTGTTCATCCTCTCTAGTGTATCATGTAGTGTAACTATTCAATTCCAGCTTATCCTTGTTGATTAAATCTATTATCATGCAATACATTCTATAACAAATTCCCCTTTACCAATTTAAACCTGAGTGATGTGTTGACCCATACAGCCCTATTTGAGGCCCAAATACTACCACCACGGGCAATCGAGATGTCCTAGTTAAATCATGATTTCACAAAACTACGTTCTAGTACATTGCTCTCATTTGCAGATCAGCTATGATTCCAGTTGAATTGCCATGGAATGATATCAGCAACAATTAAATCACAACTAGTACTACAACAAAAATTACAATAAGTGTGTCGACATGTCACATCAGTACAGGGGGCGGTGATTGGGAATTATACAATGTACACATGTATATAGATGGTCGACTTGTCACATCAGTACAGGGGGCGGTGATTGGGAATTATACAATGTACACTTGTATATAGAGGGTCGACTTGTCACATCAGTACAGGGGGCGGTGATTTGGAATTAAACAACACGATGGAATGTTTGGATCGTACCAGCAAACATTTCAAATGACTTCAATACTGTCATGCTTTGAACACGATCGCGCTACTTGACAGGGTTGCCCTACGAAAACAACAGTAGCCGAGGAGATGAATGTTGAAGGAGATGAATGGCAACTGACTGATCAGTTTACTTGGCTTTTCCCGATGAACGAACGAATCAGTGTCTCTTTGGAAAAATAGGTAAACGTTTCACATTGCATAATTTTCATGCTCATAATCTAAATCCGATGTATCCAACCAGTGGCGTTTCACAGAGATTCCTATCTACTAGTCTATTTGATCGGACAAATGTAAAAACGTCAAACCCCATTTCATCTCACTTACACAAAAGGCGAATTTCTTGTTAGCATTCAACACCCCAGTTGTAATAAATGACATTGAACTGAAAACATATCACCTGATTTGTTTAAAGAGTCTGAAGATATATTGTTACCAAAAAATGTACTTCGAATGACTCATTTCATATTGGAACATGGATAATTTCCCCGGTCAGTTGGTATCATAGTTCCGATACACAAACAGGGCGTCTCAGATAACACTGACAATAACAGGGGCATTACACTGTAAAGTGTTACAGCAAATTATTCATGTTTATCTGTCTGATTTACTCAGTTGCAAACTTTGTCTCCCTGTAAGTTGCGTTTGTTTTCTCTTTTATATTCAAGGCAATTCATACGGCGGCCATTTTGTGAACTTTAAAACTACTTTGAGTGTAATTGATAGGAGGTATTAAACTCACAACATTCCCTGCGTATCACTGTGGATCGACGTGACGAATGAGTCGTGCTTTCCTCGGGAATAGCCACTTCTCCTAAAGACGTTATGTACCACATACCTGTTCCTTCATGCGGCTCACCATGCTTAAACATGTCCAACTTTCTGAATACAAATACTTCTCGCATAGTGTGTCCCATTGACTTAAACCCCATTAAAATTGTTTATTTCACAGGCCATTGCACACACGAATATCCCCTGTGTCGCTGTTTATCTAACACTTGTATGTAGCAATGTGCTGATATCAGGGTGTCACACATCTTGGAGAGAGAGTGAGTGAGAGAGAGAGAGAGTGTGTGTGTGAGAGAGTGTGAGAGAGAGTGTTAGCTTGAAAGTGAGAGAGAATGTGAGAATGAGAGAGCGAGAGTGAGAGATCAGGGAGAGCGTGCGTGAGAGAACGTGTGAGTGAGAGAAAGTGTGTGAGGGAGAGTCAGAGAGAGTGGGAGAGATAGTGTGTGAGAGAGGGAGAGTGCGAGAGATTGTGTGTGAGAGAGATAGTATTAGAGAGAGTCTGTGAGAGAGAGTGAGGTAACAGAGTGTGTGAGAGAGGTTGAGCGCGAGAGAGTGTGTGAGAGAGCGAGAGTATGTGTGAGAGAGTATGAGAGAGAGATAGTATGAGAGAGTGTGTGAGAGAGCGTGTGTGAGAGAGCAAGCATGAGAGAGAGAGTGAGAGAGAGTGTGTGTGAGAGAAAGTGAGAGAGTGTGAGAGATAGTGTGTGAGAGAGGGAGAGTGCGAGAGAGAGATAGTATGAGGGAGAGAGTGTGAGAAAGAGTCCGTGAGAGAGATTGAGGTGAGAGAGATAGTATTAGAGAGAGTCTGTGAGAGAGAGTGAGGTAACAGAGTGTGTGAGAGAGGGAGAGCGCGAGAGAGTGTGTGAGAGAGAGTATGAGAGAGAGATAGTATGAGAGAAAGTGAGAGAGTGTGAGAGATAGTGTGTGAGAGAGGGAGAGTGCGGGGGAGAGATAGTATGAGGGAGAGAGTGTGAGAAAGAGTCCGTGAGAGAGATTGAGGTGAGAGAGTGTGAGAGAGAGAGCGTGTGTGAGAGAGCATGTGTGAGTGAGAGAGAGAAAGTGAGATAGTGAGAGAGATAGTGTGTGAGAGAGGGAGAGTGTGAGAAAGAGAAAGTGTGTCATAGAGAGAAAATGAGAGAGAGATAGTATGAGGGAGAGAGAGTCTGTGAGAGAGAGTGAGGTGAGTGTGATAGAGAGAGCGTGAGTGTGAGTGTGAGAGAAAGGGGCATGTTTGAGAGAGCAATCATGAGAGAGTGAGAGCGAGTGTGTGTGAGTGAGAGAGAGAAAGTGAGAGAGTGAGAGGGATAGTGTGTGAGAGGGAGAGTGCGAGAGAGTGTGAGAGAGAAAGTGTATGAGAGAGAGCGAGAGAGAAAGATAAGGTGTGAGAGAGTGTGAGGGAGAGAGAGTGACGTAAGAGAGTGTGAGAGAGAGTAGGTGTGTGAGAGAGCAAGCATGAGAGTGAGTGAGTGAGAGAGTGTGTGTGTGAGAGTTAGAGAGAGAGAGTGGGTGAGAGAGAGTATTAGAGAGTGTTAGAGAAAGAGAGTGTGTGCGTGAGAGTGAGAGATAGTGAGAGAGAGAAACAGAGTGAGAGAAAGAGTATAAGAGAGATTGAGAGAAAGAGAGTGTGTGTGAGAGAGAGAGAGTGTGTGTGAGAGAGAGTGCGAGAGAGTGTGAGAGTGTGTGAAAGAGAGTGAGAGATATAGTATGAGAGAGAGTGAGTGTGAGAGAGAGTGAGAGAAAGAGAGTGTGTTAGAGAGAGTGAGAAAGTGTGAGAGAGTGAGAAAGAGAGAGTATAAGAGAGAGTGAGAGAAAGAGAGTGTGTGTGAAAGAGAGTGAAAGAGAGAGTGAGAGAGAGAGTGTATGTGTGTGTGTGAGGGAGAGTGTGAAAGAGAGTGTGTAAGATTGAGAGATATAGTATGAGAGAGAGTGAGTGTGAGAGAGAGTGAGAGAAAGAGAGTGTGTGTGTGAGAGAGAGAGAGTGTGAATTCAAAGCGGATTGCGACGCCTAAGACCCAAAGCATGCTCTCTTTTTGTCCTGTAATATTCTATGGTCTTAATCAATGACACAACGTAAAGAAAACATACATCTTTCAACAGCTTATTTCAATTGATGCCAAATAATTTCATATTATTTTTGTTAACAAAACGGTTTCTTCTTTCGGGGGCATAACAAATATAAGAAACTGTAATATCGTACACGGAGACTTGCTTGATTGCGTGACATGGTGGCATACACGTATGATAGGAAAACATTTACAATTGATGTGTATCTCTCTCAGGGAAGACTAATGACACGTACCAAGAGTTTGTTACAGTTACAAAGAGACGAGCCGTTTTCAGTCATATGAATCCATTGAAATAAACCCGTGGAGTGATCAGAGTCCTTTGAGCAAATCCGACCCCATCATTAGATTGATAATGCTAGATTGTACCTATAAAGTTGTGAAACCAAAGCCTGGAGCAGGCGACAACTCTAAGCGTATCCCATTCCAGTTTTTTTTCTATTTTGCCAAATGGGACATTCATGGTCATTGTTTTGCTATTCATTCGATGTCCTCTCTGACATTTCTGCAGCTGGGAGTAACTTCCCAGAATGCAACAACAGCCATCATCTTTGTCCACTGCATTGAGGAAGACCTGTTTAAGTAATTATTTCGTCATTTGCGTAGTTTATGTGACAATGCTAATCCGACTTGACTGTTGCTTAGTATGTCGTAAAGATCAAAAGGTGTTTTACATAGCATATGGAGTGCATCATTCTCCCAAAGATACACTTAGAGACCAGTCAACTGAGGATCCCACATAACTGTTTCATTAACTATCTAACACCTGGAAGACTGTAGACACATTAGTCTTATTACTCAATCATTTGTCACCACTCGCATGTTTCCGTTAGCTACATCAAGGCTCGTCCCCTTCTCGAAAGCAGCCATACGTCGAAACGGCGCAAGTCTATTAGATTGCGTGTCAGGATATGGGTACTTCGGTCAATATAATCAATAGTTTTTAATTCATTTTATCAATATGCATTTGATTAAAAACTGTGGAAATATGTCGATTGTCAGATCGGGTGCGTTCGTTTGTATTCAGGTAACGCCCCATTTGACTACGACATCCGTTAATTGGAGTTATAACTAGACCTGGATTTCCAAAACGATATTCTGTGTAATAACCCTTGGTATACTATACTGAGAGTAAAAAAAATGTATTCAAGCAATTAACTAATCACCTATTTCAAAACATATTATTCACATACCTATTAAACTCTCGTTATTTGACATTGTGTTGTGGACATTTTAGTCCCTTTGTGATATTTACGGATTTTATTGTGTAACACACCAAGTTGGCTAATGCTCCAGTAAAGATATAAAAAACCTGAATTTTCTAAGGTCATTCAAATTTCTCATAATATTCATGGATCATATCAAACAAACGCAATTAAGGCCTATATCTGCTTAGCTGAGGTTAGACACCTGTATTAAATGAAAACTTGTATTTAAAAAATACCATCTATAAATATGACTTTGTCAGACATTGCTTTGGGGTATAAAGCTAATGTATACCAGCTAGCACTGACATATTTAGAGACAATCTACTTCCACAACGAGTGCTTTAATGATGTTAACTTTTCTTTGTTTGCATATTAACGGGTGGATACGTGTAGGTGGATAATAAACACAGAGCAGCGGTAATATATGTAAAACGGATTTAATCGCCCTAAATATATACTAGTATTTGGTGGTTTGAAGGTTCTCTAAGATATCCTTACACACTCTCCTCTGTGTTATGGCAGATCCGTGTCACATACATTTATCACAGAAACAAGAGATAACTGAACAGTGAGATAAACAACTGATTCATCAATAACATTCAACTAAATGATGATTGGTATACCCCCCAAATCAAGAACGCAAAGATTTATGATTCCAACGAACTTTTTCGAAATATGAAAAAAGAAAGTCTCGCATAAAAGGAAGCTATCGCAGAGAGTTCGGCAATTAGATACAGAAATTATTAATGAAAACTTAATGTAATATATATTATGGGTTTATAAATGATCTAAATGTATGACGTAA